ACTTTGATATTCTACTTTTGCTACAATCATTTTAATTCCCTACAAGACAAGTTTTATGTGCATTGTAATGTAAAATTTTACTTTAGTATCAGTAATAAGAGAGAGCTCAAATTTCTTTAAACAATAAAAATTTACTATTATATTTTCAGTTTTTTTCCTGAATGACGTTATGCCTTGGAAAACTAATTCTAATCTTATTCTAGACACTATACACACAACCACTTTGTACAGTTTTTTATTGAGCTATTGACTTATATCTGGATTTCTCATGGGAAGTCTCAAAAAAATTAGCTTATATCATTTAAAGGTGCTAAAAACATTTAAAGCATATAATTGCTTTAAGGTTCAAATTTATATTCTTTCATGTATTTTATGAGTTATACTTAGGAGATTTTAATTTTTAGTAGAGTTTCTCAGTTGCAAATCAAAAGAACATAATTCCAATTGACATGTAAGAGATACATGGATATTTTCCAGGGATCTGAATGAAAGTGAGGTGTTCAAGGTTAGACATTGGTAGACCTAAAGGAATTAAACTTCATGTCCTGTTATTTTTAAAATGTTAAGGAAATGCAGAAAGAGGAAGTGGATTAGGTTCTATGATATCATTAGTGCTATTTTTATTCTCTTAAGTTCAAGAGATTCAGCATGAGAAAAATATATGCAAAAATAAGGACCTTCAATTTTTAAAATTTTTATTAGGGTGTTTCCAAAATGGCCATATGGAATAAGCACACTTTAAAAAAGAAATTTGCATTTCCATTTGCTAATAGGAATGTGCATTAGATAGGAAGAATGAGGATATGATATATATTTTTCACAACTCCATTATACCGTGTCTGTTAAAGATATTAAAACAATAATTTTGTGGTATTACAAACCAAATTTTCTATAGGCAGAAACCCTTGAAAATGATGTTACTTTGTTTTAAACATTAGCTTATTACCGTACCTGAAATTAGTGCATATCACTTCCCCATTCAGCCTATGCTGAAAAGTTTTATTAATTAGATTAGATTCAGTTGTTCTCTGCAAGTTTAGTTTTACTTTGGTTTCCTTGTACTTTCACACAATTGAAAATAACTTCTGATAATAACTAATACTGGGGAAAGTAAGGCCAACTATATCTCTTTAAGGAAAGCTGAAATGTTTGTCTTTCAGTAGAAGTTCTTGATTATGAAAACCAATAGCTTATATTAAAGGAAATGCTTTTCTTTTTCTTAGGAAGGTTTTTATTTTGATGCAAAGGTGTAGTAGAAATTGTCAGCGGCTCACGCTTGTAATCTTGCCACTTTGGGAGGCTTAAGTGTAAGGATTGCAGGAGGCCAGGAGTTCCAGACCAGCCTGGGCAACAGAGTGAGACCTTGTCTCTACAAAATATTTTTTAAATAGCGCTCTCTGCCTCTCTCTCTCTCTCTCTCTCTCTCTCTCTCTCTCTCTTTCACTCACTCACTCTGTCTCTGTCTGTACACACGTGTATATGTGTTTATTAGAAATGGAAAATGACTCTTTCGAATATGATGGCATACAGAGTTTAGGTAATAAAACTGAACTGAGCTAGTCTTCTAAGTAATATCAAGTATTTCCCATTTCTACCCTTCTGAAGATTGAAGAAAGACAGAGCATTTCTGGTCTGTAGCTTTGGTTGGCATTTATAGCACTGAGCTATTTTGATTTGCTGCTATGTATTGTGTAGCAACAAATAATAATTTTACTTTGGTGAATGTAAGGGAGTCTCCAACTGCTAGGTTGGAAAGAAGAGCCCTATGTACTAGTTGTCTTGCTCATCATCTCTATTGGTAAATGTTTACTTACTGGAATAAGGCAAGTACTGTACACATTCTATGAATTAATAAGATATAAAAATACGTTGAAATTATGACTAAATAAAATAGTACTTTTTTATATCATGCACAGAATGGTGATTCAGATATGTTGGTATGAGAATGAAGAATTCTTTCTATTTAAATTTTTTTTAAATGTTACCAGTTTTTAGCCTCAGCTCTTTAGGAGTCTGAGCCTCTTAGGTCTGGTAAAGTGACGACATTCTTCATCTTTTTCTGGGCCCAAGCAAAAGACTCCTAACCTTAATTGGGCTGTTTTCAGTCTGAAGCTGTGATTTTCAAAATTAACATCCATCAGTTTCTTTGAAAATATACTAGTTGAATGCGTTCATCCTTCCATCTCCTCTCTGAATTCCAACAGGAATGCTTAAAAGAGACAAAGCCTACTCTTTCCTTCTTTCCCTCATTTTTTCGCTTTTTATTTATGCTATTTTGTTGTGTATTTTGTATATCTTTGTGAAATCTCATATCATATTAGAACAAAGAAGGGTATAAATATTAATTTAATGTCTTTTAAATCAGTGTTTCCCACCTGGAAGGCATATCAGAATCATCTATGTAATGTTTAATAAAAAACAGATGGTTGGCCCCATGTTGACCCTGCTGAATCCGAATCTTCAGGGTGGTGGAGCTTAAGTTTATATGTTTCAAAAATTTCTCTGCTGCTTCTGATAATGTATCTTTAACTTTGAATGGCTGCCCCAAACTGTGTTTTACTTTTCCAGGGTAATGAAAAAGTGTGATGTGACTCTATAGCAAATATTTTTCTGGAATAATTCATACCAAGAGTTTTCTTAAAATTCATCTGTTTTTATATAACTTAAAAAACTCTGTGTGTGTATATATTTATATGCACATGTATATGCATATATAATATTTGATTTCTTTTCATAGTTTGACTATAAAAATGACCCACAAATACTTATTTTGATTTTGACCTATTTTTCTTGACAGTGATCCCTTTGGTGTTTGTTCTGTAGCATAAGCATGAGTGGGGATGAATCTTTTGCTTGAGTCCAGGAAAAGATGAGGAATGTCGTGACTGTCTCAGTAAACACAGATGACGGTGATGAATTCAGTCTTGGTTGTTGTAACTGTCATTGGCAGCAAGAGAGTGATATTGCTTTTGCATAGAATTTAGAATTCATAGTTGAAAAATTAAAGTTATTTAAAAAGGGCAAATTTTGATAATATGTCAAAAACCAGCCTTTTAAGGTTATAGGAACTTGCTGAGTTTGAATGTTACTATTTTTCAAGGGTCTTTATGATTCAAAATGAGCCTATTCATAGTTCATAAGTCAGTACTTTTTTTTTTTAATTTCCAATTTTTATTTTAAGTTCAGAAGTACATGTGCAGGAGGCATAGGTTTGTTACATAGGTATATGTGTGCCATGGTGGTTTGCTGCACAGAACATCCCATCACCCAGGTATTAGGCCCACCATCCATTAGCTGTTTTTCCTGATACTCTCCCTCCTCCCACCTTTCACCCTCTGGCAGGCTCCACTGTTTGTTATTCCCCATCAAGTGTGCATGTGTTCTCATCATTCAACTTCCTCCTACATGAGAACACATGGTATTTGGCTTTCTGTTCCTTGGTTAGTTGCTGAGGACAATGGCCTCAACTCCATTCATGTCCTTGCAAAGGACATGATCTAGTTCTTTTTTATGGCTACATAGTATTCTGTGGTGTATATGTACCACATTTTCTTTATCCAGTCTACCATTGATGGGCATTTAGGTTGATTCCATGTCTTTGCTCTTGTGAATAGTGCTGCAATGAACATGTGTATTCATGTATCTTTATAATACAACAGTTTATATCCCTGTGGGTATATACCCAGTAATGGGATTGCTGGTTGAATGGTATTTCTACCTCTAGGTCTTTTGGGAACTGCCACACTGTCTTTCACAATGGTTAAACTAATTTACACTCCCACCAACAGTGTAAAAGTATTCGTTTTTCTACAGAACCTTGCCAGCATCTGTTATTTTTTGAACTTTTAATCATAGCCATTTAGTCAGTACTTTCTTGATAGTGAGAATGTTGAAGTAATTAAGACTTAAATTTTAATCTCGGTTTCAATAAAGATTCATTGCCATTATGAATATAAAGCAGATTCATTACTTTTCTATTTGCTGAAAGTTTGGAGTGTGTAGCCAAAAATTTACAAAAGACTTTAAATGTTTGGATAAAAATGACTGTAAATGTGTTTAACTTTTGTTTGCTATAAGTGCAAAAAATGTATCTGAAGGTGATAGAAAAGAAACTATCCTTATTAGCACATGTAAGAAAAAATTGTTCATATTATATAGCTCCAGATTTTTTTTTTTCTTTTAAGGAAGAGCATCACCCTGAGAGAGTCTCATAGTATCTTTTTTTTTTTTGAAAAAAAGAAAGAAAAAAAAAGAGAGAAAGAAAAAAATGAAAATAAAAAAAATTTTTTACAGTACATAAACTGTTATATGCCACAACTATTAATAGTTTGCTTAAGTCTGTTACACTATTTTATTGTTAGCACATTGTGTGTGTGCTTTGAAAATTGCTTGTAAGTGCTATGCTATTGTTTCCCAATTCCTGTACCTCATCTGATGACTATCCTCTTCAGTTTTCTCCATTATCAAGCCTCTTTAAATAAAATGAGTCACTGTGATGGTCCTAGCATAGCTTTTCAGGAAAACTCATCAACTCCAAGAAAATGCACATTATTGATAAACATCTCTCCATGTTGAGTTTGCATGATCTCTCATTTTAAAATTGAATCAACACATGGATGGTTAGGTCACCATAAGAGTTGGCATACAAAAATACAGGAATAAAGCTGATTGAGTTAAATTCTGTTATTCAGGTAGAGATTACTGCCATTATGTAAACAAACATTTTAGAAGAGGAAGAAAATGCTATATATGAAGAAGGAAAAAATAACCTCTCACCCTTACTATATTATATAATGAGTAATAGAAAAAAAATCTTAAAATGACCAAAAACAGCTTTCTGAAGATATTTGTTTTTGGGAATTGGTGAAGATGACTTCTCAGTTGTTATATGGAATGCTAAGTTCAGAGAGAGGTGACTCTATAAAGCCATGTAAGCTACCCTGCTTATCTTAAAAATTAATTCCTCATGTTCTTTGGTGGGTTGTGGGGATTTGTTTTAGGATATGACTGCGCGTGATCTGCTACAGCAGAGATATACCCTTCCAAATGGAGACACTGCCTGGCGATCCTCACCCCTTGTGAATGCTGCTCTGGAAGGCAAGCTGGTCTTGTTGGATGGCATTCACCGGGTAAATGCAGGCACACTCGCTGTATTGCAAAGGTGTGTATGAGTCACAAAAATTTCCCAAACACACACACACACACACACACACACACCACACAAACACACACCAGTCTGACTTACATATTAAAGATGAAACTGTCTTATTCTTTTTTTTTTTTTAACTGTGTTATGTAGATCCTGAAAAATCATGATTCTATACCAAGTAGAACGGTACTTCTTTTATTGTTATAAACACAATGCGGTAAAACTCCAAATAGTGAACATTTTGGGAAAAGCCACTGCCATAGCAAAATTCTGTGTGTAGGTGCTGCAAAAAGAAAGCTCTTCAGTAGTAAGTTTGAAAGACTTTATATATACAGGTGTATATTTGCAGCATATCACACTGCTGAAGTTTCTACAATTTGTCAGTCACAGCTTCACCATTTACAAACTCCTTATGAATCATACATCTTAATTATTGATTGGTCTTTTTGGAATCTTTTTTTTCTGAGAGAGAAAGAAAAATAGTTTTGTGTATAAGATATATAATAGCTTTTAAATTATATTTTATATAGACTATAAAAGCTCACTTTGTTGTAAATTTGAACATTTTTATAACGATTGTTTTCTTATATTTAGGTGGGAAAAATTTCCACACATTCCTAAAACTTCTCTAGAATTTAATGTTGAGAGAAGACTCGTCATGTGTAATTTTTATAGAAAATATTCCCATCCTGTGTCATTTTAGGAGATTAATATGTTTTTTATTTATTTTGGTTCTCTAAACTTGCAGACGTTTGATTTTTAACTTTGACTCATAAGGAAAGGTTAAATAAGTAGAATAAGCCATTTCCTCCACTAACCACTCAAGAGTTTTCTTTTTTTCTTGAAGTGATACAGATTCTGAATATAATTAAAGATTCTAAATACATTGTTAATTCTGATTAGATTTTAGAGCATTTGAAAATAGTCACACATTTTCAGTGATTTACCATAAACGTTCCATAGATTTACAATATTTTTTCTCACAAGCAGACAACTGCAGACATGGTAATAGTCCAGTTTTATTATCTATCTCTTACATGTTTGCAAGAAGTAATAATAGAAGCAGCTACTACCATTAATTGAGTACCTACCCTGTGCTTGACATTGTGTTAACCCAGTGTTTCTCAGGTTCTCAACCTTGGAATCACCTTGCAAGAAGGGAATTTTAAAAATACTGATGCCTGGGCTTGACCATCAGAATTTTCTGATGTAATTTGTCAAGGCAAGGTCTGAACATTGGCATTTTTAAACTCTTCCCAGAAGATTCTATTGTACATTCAAGATTGAGAACAACTATATTAAGCATCCATTTTACATTAGCCATTTAATTTTCATTAATATTGTGAAGTTTTGATTTGTTACCTTAATGTTACAGAAGATGAAAGTTTAGAGAGATAGAGTCATTCACCCTTTCCCCAGTCATTCAGCTAATCATGAGGTGGAGTTGAACCCAAGACTGATTGGTTCCACTGCCCGCGCTCCTACCCTTTGCATTATACAGCCTCCCCTCCCTTCAGTATTTATAGAATGGAGGCTATGTAGGATAACTCTTTTGTGGGCACCAGGAGACTTAGGGGTTGGTTGGTGTGAGATATAGAACAGTGCTTTTCAGCCATTGCAACATCTGGAAGACTATGCTATGTGTGATGTGGATGGTTAGGTCACCATCAGAGTTGCCGTGTGAAAAGCAATGTAGTTATTTCATTATGAATATTTTTGATATTTTTAAATCTTGTAATTCCAAAGATAGAAATATTTTGATGCCAACACTTATACAGAGTTACTTTAGACTCAAGAGAATGCCACCTGCCTTGTTTATGAATATATACCTTGTGGTTATCCTGAGACACTCATTCAGCTGTTTCTTTTCCTCTCCCTCCTCTTCCTTTCTTTTTTCCCCTCTTCCCCCTCTTTCATATCCCTATCAAGTATGTATGACTACTGCCCTCCAAAAGAGAAACCAACAGTTTTTCCGAGTACAACAGCACTAGTCAATTTGAAATTTTGAAAGGTCTATCTAACAAAATTATTAGACTCGATTGCCAGCAGTAATAGACTGTTGAGTTACTGATTCTGCCTCTGAAAACTTCAGCGTTCAAAACGGATTAATTTATTTTTGGACTTTTTTCTTATCTGTTAGATTAATCCATGATCGAGAGCTAAGCCTCTATGATGGTTCTAGGCTCCTGAGAGAAGACAGGTATATGCGTTTAAAAGAGGAGCTGCAAATGTCTGATGAACAGCTACAGAAGAGGTAATTTGGGGTCCATTACTCTTATTGTTAACTTATTATTAAGTTAAAAATAATACTGTTTATTATTTTTCCGAACCTAGAGTAATGCCAAGACAACTTTGAACAGTTTAATAATTTGGTATCCTGGGTAGGACACTAGTTTGGCATTTCTAAAAACTTGAAGTTGCTCTCTAAGGTGCACTCTGTACTCTCAGCCTTACTTTTTTTTTTTTTTTTTAAAAACCTAATCAACTGTTTTATTGGCTTTTTTGTTGTTAATAGGACAGTGATTTGTTTTTTTATTCCAATAGTTTTTGGGGCACAGTTGGTTTGTGGTTACATGGATAAATTCTTTAGTGGTGATTTCTGAGATTTTAGTATACCTGTTACCCGAGCAGTGTACCCAATATATAGTTTTTTGTCCTTCATCCCCCCTACCAAGCTTCTTTGCCCCTGAGTTCCAAAAGTCCATCGTATCATTCTTTTTTTTTTTTTTTTTCTAAATTGAAGGCAACAAATGAAAGTTAACTCCTAGCTTTGTTTTATCTAGGTTTTTTTTTGGAGGGGGTTGAAGAGAAAAAAAGAAAAAGAAAGAAAGAGAGAAAGCAAGAAAAAAAGAATGAAAGAGAGAAAGAAAGAGGAAGAGAAAGAGGGAGAGAGGGCAGGAGTCTTGTTTTATTGTCCAGGCTAGAATGCAGTCTAAAAATGGGTATTGAAAACCTCTTTTATGCCAATAATTATGCTTAACAATGGAGACAGGAAGGAATAAGGGAAGAAAATAGCAAACAAGCAGCCAACCAATATTTCATTTAAACCTGTGAAATGCTATGCAATTGCTGAGGAGTGATTTACTTCCAATTATATAGTCACTTTTAGATTAGGTGTGATGTGGTACTGATAAGAATGTATGTCTTGTGGATTTGGGATGGAGAGTTCTATAAATGTTTATTAAGTTTACTTGTTCCAGGTCTGAGTTCAAGTCCCGGATATCCTTGTTAATTTTCTGTCTTGTTGATCTGTCTAATATTGACAATGTGATGTTAAAGTCTCCCTCTATTATTGTGTGGGTGTCTAAGTCTTTTTATAAGTCATTAAGAACTTTCCTTATGTATCTGGGTGCTCCTATATTTGGTGTGTATATATTTAGGATCATTAGCTCTTCTTGTTGCATTGATCCTTTTACCATTATATAATGTCCTTCTTTCCTCTTTTGATCTTTGTTGCTTTAAAGTATATTTTATCAGAGGTGAGAATTACAACTCCTGCTTTTTATTTATTTATTTATTTATTTATTGCTCTCCATTTGGTTGGTAAATCTTCCTCCATCCCTTTGTTTTGAGTTTTTATGTATCCTTGCATGTGAGATGAGTCTGGATGCAGCATACCGATGGGTTTTGACTTTTTATCCAATTTGCCAGCTGTGTCTTTCGATTGGGCATTTAGTTGATTTAAATTTAGGATTAATAATAATATATGTGAGTTTAATACTGCCATTTGATGCTAGCTGGCTGTTTTGCCCATTAGTTGATGTAGATTCTTCATTATGTTGATGCTCTTTACCTTTTGGTATATTTTTGGAATGGCTGATACTGGTTGTTCCTTTCTATGTGTAGTGCTTCTTTCAGAAGCTCTTGTAAAGCAGGCCTGGTGGTGATGAAATCTCTGAGTACTTGCTTGTTCACAAAAGATTTTATTTTTCCTTCACTTATTAAGCTTAGTTTGGCTGGATATGAAATTCTGGGTTGAAAGTTCTTTTCTTTAAGGATGTTGAATATTGGCCCCCACTCTCTTCTGGCTTGTAGGGTTTCTGCTGAGAGATCTGCTGTGAGTCTAATAGGCCTCCCTTTGTGGGTAACCTGACCTTTCTCTCTGGCTGCCCTTATCATTTTCTCCTTTATTTCAAGCCTGGTGAATTTGATGATTATGTGCCTTGGGGTTGCTCTTCTTGAGGAATATCTTTGTGGTGGTCTCTGTATTACCTGGAGTTGAATATTGTCCTGCCTTGCTAGGTTGGGAAAGTTTTCCTGAATAATATCCTGAAGAATATTTTCCAGCTTGGATTCATTCTCTTCGTCACATTCAGGTACACCTATCAAATGTAGATTAGGTCTTTTCACATAGTCCCATATTTGTTGGAGACTTTGCTCATTCCTTTTTACCCTTTTTTCTCTAATCTTGTCTTCTCATTTTATTTCATTGAGTTGGTCTTCGACCTCTGATATCTTTTCTTCTGCTTGATCAATTCGACTGTTAAAACTTGTGCATACTTTGTGAAGTTCTCGTATTGTGTTTTTCAGCTGCATTAATTCACTTATATTCCTCTCTAAATTGTCTATTCTCATTAGCATTTCATCAAACCTTTTTTCAATGTTCTTAGTTTCTTTGCATTGGGTTAGAACATGTTCTTTTAGCTCACAGAAGTTTCTTATTATCCACCTTCTGAAGCCTGATTCTGACAATTCATCACACTCATTCTCCGTCAGGCCTTGTTCCCTTGCTGATGAGGGGCTGTGATCCCCTGAAGGAGGAGAGGCATTCTGATTTCGGATGTTTTCAGCCTTTTTGCGTTGATTTCTTCCCATCTTTGTGGATTTATCCACCTGTTGTCTTTGTAATTGCTGACTTTCAGATTGGTTCTCTGAGGGGACGTCCAGCTTGGTGGTGGTGATGTTATTTCTGTTTCTTTGCTTTCCTTTGGCAGATGCCCCTCCCCCACAGAGCTGGACCTTCCTGGGTTCAGCTGTGCTTTCTGTGAAACTCTCAACCGTCAGTGTTTCCAATTGCTGTTTTTTTGTGGGGGTGGGACCAGCCGAGCCCAATCACCTGGCTCCCTGCCTCAGAGCCCGCTTTTTTCTTTTCCTAATTGAATGGTCAATTCTCTCTCAGGTGCCCCAGTTGCCCGCTGAAAAGGCACCGGGATCTATGCAATTTCCCTTGCGGCGACCGTGCCAGCTGAAACAGCAGCACTGAGATTCGTGGCACTTTTCTGCCTGGGAATCTCCCACTCTGGCTCCTGGCTTCAGTCCCCTTTACAATCAACTGAATGGGTGACTCTGCCTTCCTGGAGCTCCAAATGCCAACTAAAAGCGCATCCAGTCCCACGTACACTGCACTGAGAACTGCCACGCTGGGACACGGCAAAACAGCCGCACCGGCCAAAAGAGTCGTGCTGGCAACCCGTGGGGCTTCTCCACTGGGAATCTCCTGGTCCATAGGCAACAAAAATTCATCTGGAAGTCTGGCGTCCACTCACTCCCTCCGCCTTCACTGGGAGCTGCAATCCTGAGCTGCTGCTAATCGGCCATCTTGGATCTCTCTCCCCATCATACCATTCTTATTTCTTTGTGTTCTCACAGCTTAATTCCCACTTGTAAGTGATGACATGTGATATTTAGTTTTCCATTCCTGAGTTACTTCACTTAGAATCATGGCCTCCAGCTACATCCAAGTTGCTGCAAAAGATATTATTTCACTCCTTTTTATGGGTGAGTAGTATTCCGTGGTGTATATATACCACATTTTCTTTATCCACTTGTTAGTTGATAGGCACTTAGGTTGGTTTCATATTTTTGCTATTGTGAATTGTGTTGCTGTAAACATGCATGTGCATGTCTTTTTCATATAATGACATCTTTTCTTTTTGATAGATGTCCAGTAGAGGGATTGCTGGATCGAATGGTAGATCTACTTTTAGTTCTGTAAGGACTCTCCATACTGTTTCCCATAGTGGTTGTACTCATTTACATTCCCACCAGCAGTGTAAAAGTGTTCCCGTTTCACCACATTCATGCCAATCTATTATTTTTTGACTTTTTAATTATGACCATTCTTGCAGGAGTAAGGTGGTATCTCGTTGTGGTTTTACTTTTCAGCCTTATTTTTAAATAAATGTTTAAACATTTTATAAGAACATTGGTTTTGGCCAGGTGCAGTGGCTCATGCCTATAACCTCAGCACTTTCGGAGGCTGAGGCAGGTGGATCACCTGAGATCAGGAGTTGGAGACTAGCCTGGCCAACATGGTGAAACCCCATCTAATAATACAAAAAAATTAGCTGGGTGTGGTGACACACACCTGTTATCTCAGCTACTTGGGAGGCTGATGCAGGAGAATCACTTGAACCTGGGAGGCAGAGGTTACAGTGAGCCAAGATTTCGCTCCAGCCTGAGCAGCAACAGTGAAACTCTGCCTAAAACAAACAAACAAAAAACATTGGTTTTAAGAAGGTAATCTTCCTCTCTTCCCTGTCAATTCAGTTTTGACCTCATATTTTGTATTCTCTCAACAAAACTAAAGCTGCACCCATAATTTACTGGGCTCATCCTCCAAGGAAGTCATCAATATTGTTAGAGTATGCCACCTGATGCCAGGTTACCCTTTGTAGCTTATTTAAACATTGCTTGTAGAGATGTAACAACCACATGCAGTGATGAGACTTGACTGGATTCTGGAGGAAGAAAACAAAATAAAAACAGCTATTAAAAACAGAAAAGCTTAAACACAGACTATGTTATGTGATATTATTGAATTATTAATTTCCTTAAGTATCATAATATTGTGGTTATGAAGGAGAATATTCCTGTTCTTTGGAGATGCATGTTGAGATACTTAAGGCATAAAGTAAAATAAAAGTCTACAACTTCCAAATATTTCAGAAAAAAAGACTTGCGTGTGTACAGACAGACATACCACAGAGAAAGAGAGAGAAATATCAAGTGAGAGTGAGAACATAAATGTGGTAAAATCTTAACAGTTGGCAATATCTAGGTGAATGATATATGGGTATTTGTAGTCTATTCTTTGGCATTTTCTATGAGTTAAAAAAATTTCAAAATAAAAAGCTTCAAGTAAAATATTTTTTTCAGCTGCATACTATACAGAATGAAGTTTGGCATATGTTATTTTCTATCTTGCTACATTTCCATGGATATTTTAACAGAATTAGAGATTGGCATACAGAGGAACTCTTCATTACTTAATCTGACTCTGTTTAATTGAAGCTGTCTCACTGCTCAAAGGGT